TGGATAGGCAGATCCTTTACTTGGCAGCTCAGATCCTTGAAACAGCAAGGCAGAAGCTATGTGTCCTCTTAAAGATTATCTCTGTAATGGGTATAACATCACTTCCTCCATCCTCCTTTGGTCAAAGCAATTACAGGCCCGCAGAGAGTCAAGAACAGGGGAAATCTGAGATGCCTTTTCAATGCAAGAAGTGTCCAGGAGTGAGCAGCCTTCAAGAGTCTAACAAACAGTGCCACACAACACATCCGCTTTGAGATGCTGCTGGGTGTCACGTACATGATAGGTCCATACAACCAAGTCCTTGTTTCCCTGAGCCACAGTAGAAAACTCTGGAATACTTCTTCACTTGACTTCCCCCTGCCTGGGTGATCTCGCACATGTAATGTTCCCCTATAATCCAGGCCAGAAAGTTCACCTTAAGTGGCGCGACGTTCCTAACTTTAGTGGACATCCTCTCCCATCCCTGTATCCATGGACATAGAGGACTATAGATATAGACATAGGGTTGGCAGAAAGGAGAATGTATCAAGCCCGTACATGCTGAAAAGAACTGTACCAGAAACTGGTCCCAATTCCAGAGTTCCCTATTTGGGACCACTGAGTTTTCCCAATTTCCTCACAGTCCTTTCCTTTCAGGGGTCCCCTAAGACCTGACACTTTCATTGTAATCCATCCCTCTCCACCTTGCCTACAAAGGTACATAGCCTCAGAGTCATAAGTGAGGCAGGTTTGGGGTCACAGAGGGAATCGAAGGAGGAGGAAAAGCAGAAACAGTCCCTGATATCTGCAATACCACCCTGCTGTATGCTTAAGAGAAACACTTGCCTAAGCGATTCCTAAAGTATTTCCTTTTCAGCTATTTAATCCAGAGAAGCATGGTTGTTGCTGCACACAAACACGGGATCGTTTACCCACCACACAGTAGGGCCAACAAGGAAAAAATCTGAAACGCCAGGCTTCTGGCAAGGAAAGAGGTTTACTATCGAAAGGCAGCCATATGAGGAGAAGCGAGTTAGAACTCAGATCCATCTCCTCGAATGGAAAGAGGTAGAGGGTTTTACGTGGGGTTTTAGGTAGGGGAAGGGGAGCTTGTAACCTTGCTAATTGGTGCCTTCCCACCAGCCTGCATCTGCCCTTGAAGACTGAATTGCTTTTCCCTTGACTTACTGGACTTTTCTGGTTAGGTTTCATCTTCAGCCTGCCTTTGGCCTTGAAGCCTGAATTTCTTTTCACTTAACTCTCTGGACTTTTCTGGTTAGTTTTCATCTTCAGCCTGCCTTTGGCCGCGAAGACTAAATCTTGATGTCTGCACCTTGACATTCAGGGAAAGACAGCTCACTCCTATACTAAGGAGGGACAGAAAGACCTGGTTAGTTTTAAACAACAGTTGCTTATGCTGAATACACACAGCTGCAGTTAGGAAAGCTTATCTCATAGTTTTTCTTCTCTTCTTCTAGCCCAGAGAAGATTTTTTAACATCTTCATCCTCAGTTTCGATCCCCACTGTCTCATAATTATTCCCCAGTCTTGAGGAATGGAGGGGAAGACCTCTCTGGCTGCTTCCTCCTGTGAAAGTGTGAAGATCAGGATCAGTGGAATGAGACTCTCTTACCTTTATCTTAAAATATTTTGGGGTAGCAGGTCGGGAGAGTGAGATGTGCTTTGCATGACTAATATTTTAGTACTCTGATCAATGACTTTGGAACAACACTGAAGTTCACATTTTATAATTACATAAATGGCCACAGAGATTAGCAAAATAGAAAGCCCAAATTTTAGTATCCCCTCTGCATAATGGACCTCAATCCTTGGGGAATCTAGGCAAAGAGGCCTGTAAACCAATCAAGGTTCGTGCCCAGAAACTCAGGTGACATGTGATGTAGCCAAGTAGCCTGCTGTCCAGTAGTCCAACAGGTAAGGTAAGAACCTGGGAGTCATTCCTTCCATTTCTTTAGGAGACCATCTTCTGTATAGCAACTTGTGGTCTGTCAGGGGTTCATTTGTCCATTGAGAAAAGTCAGCATCCAGATTATGAAGTCATCCAAAGTTGGGGTGATCCCAGTTGTGATGTTTTAATATGGCCTGGCTCCTGTTTCCTGTGGCATTTCTTGTATGGTCCTATCCCAGCAGGGATGAAGTACAGGATTTCAACAGGACCCGAGTCTCTAGGACAAAGATGGTGCAGAGAAACATCTGACGACATTTCGCTCCTTGATTTGAGTTCCCTCCAGGTCTTTTGGCTCATCTTTAGAACACAGGAAGGCTCTTCCAAAGTTAGGCCTATATCGTGGAAGCAGGTAACTAGATATTTAATAAGAAGCATTTCTAGAGACACGAGAAGAAAAACAAGGTTATTGATTGGAGCAAACTGTAAATCAATTTCTGTGAACAAGGGATGGTCAGCCAAGAGGATCTCTAGAGGTCAGGGTTGAAGCACCCCCTGCAGTTTAAAACTTCTCCGATGATGTCACCAGGCATTCAGGCAAAGCTATTGAGTGGGTTAGGGAGCAAGTGGTGTGAAGATTGTCCAAACATGGAGTATCGTGGTGCTCCCTCTTACGTTTATACCAAGTTGTCCAGCATATCAGAGTTTGCAGGCCTTCAGGAAAAAGGGTGGTTTTAGTTTTCAATGATCCCAAATGAAAAGGACAGAAAAAAATTGAAAACGTTAATCTGGAGTTCTGTACCAGATGTTTAAGGAAACTAGAAGAATTCAGGATCCACTGCAGTTTACAGATAGAAAACAAAAATCTCAAAGACACTTAACAGAACCAGCAGCCCTAGATAAATTATATACTCCTCTTCTTTTTCTTTTTTCTTTTTTCTTTTCTTTTCTTTTTTTTTTTTTTGCTGGGGAAAGTGGCCCTGAGCTAACATGTGTTGCCAATCTTCCTCTTTTGGCTTGATTAAGATTCATCCTGAGCTAGTATTTTTCCCGATCTAGCTTTATTTTGCATGTGGGTTGCTGCCACAGCATGGCCATCAATGAGTGGTGTAAGTCCACACCTGGGAATGAAACCCGTGTTACCAAAGTGTAGCATGGCCAATTTAGCCACTAGGTCTCTGGACCAGCCCCCTAATATTCTTAAGTAATTATGATTAACAGCATAAAACCAATCAAAGGAAAAAACAGCAGGCCAGAAACCAACCCGTTACTCTCTGTGCCACTAAGGTGAACAGCCCAGGAAGACTCTTTCTGGTTCCGTTTTAAATTTAAGTTTTTAGTCTCTTTTGAGTTCATTATTGTGAGTGGTATAAGGTAAGGTTCTAATTTCATTCTTGTATAGATGGTTGTGCAGTTTTCCCAGCACCATTTACTGAACAGACCATATTTCCCTTTGAGTATCCTTGGCTCCTTGTCCAATACTAGGTGCCCATTGATAAGTGGGTTTATTTCCGGACGCTCTATTCTGTTCCTTTGTTCTAGATGTGTCTTGTTAGGCCAGTACCTTGCTGTTTTGACTGCTATAACTTTGTCATGTAGTTTGAAACGAGGAAGTGTGATGCCTCCAGCTTTGCTCTACATTCTCAGGATTGCTCTTGCTATTTGGGGTCTTTTGTGGCTCCATACCTATTTTAGGATTGCTTTTTCTCTTTCTGTGAAAATTCCATTGGATTTTGATAGGGATTGCATTGAATCTACAGATGGCGTTGGGTGATATGGACATTTTAACAATATAAATTCTTCCGCTCCATGAACACAGGATATCTTTCCATTTGTTTGTGTCTTCTTTAATTTCTTTCTTCAAAGTCTCATAGTTTTCAGTGTACAGATCTTTCCCCTCCTTGGTCAGGTGTATTCCTCACTGTATGCTTTTGTAAGTGGGATTGTTTCCTTTATTTCTTTTCAGATGTTATGTTGTAGGCAGATAGAAGCACAGCTGTCTTCTGTTTGTCGGTATTGTACCCTGCCACTTTACTGAATTGATTGAGTAGTTCAAACAGTTTTTTGGTGGAATCTTTAGGATTTTCTCTATAGAAGATCATATGATCTCCAGAGACAAGTGAACTTCTTTCTTTCCTCTTTGGATGCCTTTTATTTCTTTTTCCTGCCTGATTGCTCTGGCTAGGATTTCTAGTACTATGCTGAATAGGAGTGGTGAGAGTGGGCATCCTTTTCTCATTCCTGATCTTAGAGGAAAAGCTTTCAACCTTTCACCACTGAGCATCTTGAAAAGGGATAGGCTATTAATTGTCAAGTCTTTCCCCTTTATGTTTTGTTTTTCTCCCCATGATAGTTTCTTAGAGAATTAATCATTTTTTTTAACCAACAGTTCTGCTATTAATCCACCAATCCAAGTATGTGGGATACATTTTGGGACCTAAGTAATGGCAAGAAAAGAATTTTAAAATTGGTGACTGTTTAAGTATTTTTCTAAGTATTCCATTTGTGTCTGTGTTCTGTGTTTGGAGACTGCAGTTGTCTTATTTCACCTTTTTCTGTCTCCCTGAGGGTTCTGATCAAATCCAGAGGCAGAAGTTGGCTAATTGCATCCCTTAATTTCCATGAAAACCCTGCTGCCCATGTCAGATATTTCCTGCTCTATCCAGAGTGGCATAGCCCAGGACAACAGGAGATTCCCACAGGGTTGGAGGGAAGGGACCCAAAGTGGCCAGAGTCATTCTGATGGCAACAGGGACTTGGGAGATGGAGGTCGCAGTCTCTCAAGGAGCTAAAACAAATTTCTACAATTTGGGTGCTTTTGGTACGATCTTTCCAAAGTTCCTCTTTTGGGGCATGAATCGGCTGACGTCATCAGATGATCTTTTGCCCTATACGGCATCTTTCAAAAACGTTCTGCTGAAGGTCACAGGTAGTTTAGAGGTTGACAGATTCCCACACTGGCTGGTGGGTGTGATGCCAAGCAGGAGGATGACCGGTCACATGTGACAGGGTGCCAGTTAGCGCGTTGCATTTCATCCAATCACATAGAGAGTTTGCCGATGACGTCAGAGAGGTAGCGCCATGAATGCGCCACCACCTCTCAGCGGCTGCCATTGTTCTTCCTTCAAAACTGCTGCAGCACCAACTCTGACATGGCTGAGCCCGGCTCTGAGCCTTCCTCTGAGGAAAGCCTCGGCACCACGGAACCCACGGAAGCCGACCCGAAGAGTCTGAAGCAGAAGCAGCCAAGGCGCCGCCGCCGCCGCCGCCGCCGCCTCGACAGTTTCGCCACCTATTTCCCCAGGGTTCTGAGGCAGGTTCACGAGGGCCTGAGCCTGTCTCAGGAGGCCGTGAGCGTCCTGGATTCGTTCGCGAAGGACATCTTCGAGCGCATCGCCGACGAGGCCACGTGCCTGGTCCGCTCCACCAAGCGCTCCACCATCTCGTACGGAGAGATCCAGACCGCTGTGCGCCTGCTGCTGCCGGGAGACCTTGGCAAGCACGCCGTGGCCGAGGGCACCAAGGCCCTCATCAGATACATCAGCCGCCGCTGAGCTGCCTCAGGAGCACCTGAGCATCGCAACCCAAAGGCTCTTTTCAGAGCCACCTCACTTGGCGGGAAAAGAGCTGTCGCCCGAAAAGGAGGGATCTACTCTAGTTTGGTGATCGTGTGGCATTCGGCTAAAAGGTAAAGTATTTTTACCATAAAGGAAATATTCTTGGCTATACTTTATATATATTTGAGTACAGTTTATTCCACGGGAAATCCTGGATTTTCCTTGACCTTGTTACGTTTCCCGGCTTTCCTAAACCGTCGTTTCTCTTAGATGTTTCTCTAGGTCAGCCTTAAGGGGGAGTATTTTTGTTATAGTGATATTTTCCTTTTTCACTCTCATTCTCTCACAAACGTACGGTGCAATTTTCCCGAAGTTTGTTATGTGTGGTATACAACAGATAAGTGTAGAAGCAGATATGAGAATCCCTCTGACTTTGTTAGGCCAGTTTGTTAAGTTGATTTTCAAATATCTGAGACAATGCCCGTCCCTAATCATTTAAAAAATTATTTTGTATTTGAATTTGTAATTTCCGTTAATGTAATATAATGGTTCTTCATTATTTTTAAATGAATTTTAAAATAAATTCTTTAAAATTACTCTTTTAATATTTCGGGCAGTTAATACTGGCAGATATTACTGACATAGTAACTCCTGGTGTTTCTATTTATTTCTGAAAGTGTGAAGTTCCCTGAGGCTAAACTGTTGTAGATTTTTAGTCATTTGCAGTATCATCTGGTCAACTGAAAATATTTAGACTCTTTTTCAGTGTTTAAACTTTTTAAAAATTTAATTGCCAAGTTTTCACAAATAGTTCTAAATCAAAATGCTGATAAAAAGCTTCCTTGTCACATTTCTGACTCTAATAGGAATGATAGTGGCATTTCATCAGCAAAGGTGATATTGGGATTTTGTTTGAGGCCTATGTGCTCAGAATAACAATTTCGGTTTTCTAGGTCTTTTAAATGACTTAATAGCTATCACAATGCCCTTTCAGTGGTTTTGGCAGCTTTGGGAACATTTTTTTCTCTTGGTTTATTTAAGTAAACTATAGTGATAGATTTTCCAATGTTAAATTCTCCTTTAATTTATGGACGGGAACCCCTTAATCGAGGCACTTGGAGGAATTATGTAGCCTAGAGGTACTGTGTGATCTTCTTGCTGAAGCCCTTTAGGCCTGCCTTCCAGTCAGAGGTGATCTGCAATCTATAAGTTTATCCGAGATCTTCCATTGCTCCTAATTTTATCAACATTCACAACTATTTCTGAACCTCATTTAAATGCAAGCCCTACACTAATCACCTTACTTCACTCTCCAGTTCATTCCTCCTTCTTGGAAAGGAGTTGTTGTCACAATACCTGAGTAATTGATTTTGCATCTTCTCACCAGAAGGGCTCCAAGATGCCCTGACTAAGATGAAGAATGTCAATGTGCTGCCTGGAGCTTTCTGCTCTACCTACCTCTAGAAGGTGCTGAAACAGGTTCGGCCCGATGACAGCATCTATTCGGAGGATATGACCCTCATGTGCCCCGCTGTTAGTGATATTCGCCCTCATTGAGTAAACTAGTTTGGGAGCACCCAGTCAGCAGATCGGAAGATTTTTCTTCAGAATCCTGTGAGCTTAGGAAATAAGAGTATGGTCAATTAAAGTACTTGTTTTCATGGGAAGACTACTGGTGTGAGATCAAAGTTGACTTACCAGGTTGTTCCTTCTCTCTTTTCCATTTCATTATATGCGTGGTCTAGAATTTTCTTTTTTGACCAAATGTCCTGTGCTTTAATTAGTCTTAACTTGATTTCAGAAAGTTATTTGCTTTTAGATTTTTTTCTCACTTTATTTTACATTTTCATCACATTTTAAAATTCACAGATAACTTGCTTACTAACCTGTGTAACAGATCGTCACGTTCAATTCTTATTAGAACTGCTTAATACAGTCACTTGGGGACTTTGTTTTCCCTTGTTCGCTACTTCTGCATCGAGGCCTTCCTGACTTCCTAATCTAAAGCACTGCTCTCTCCCCCATTGCACACATATATTTTTTCTTCATAAGATTATTTTGTTCATATTTGTTTGCTTATTTATCTGTGAACTTCATGAGAAGACAGACCTTGTCTCATGTGCTGTCGTGTATCAGTGGTGGGAACTGTGTTTGGCACTTTAGCAGAGACTCAATATTTGTTGAGCAACTGTGTGAAGATTGAGGAGAGTGGATTTGCTGGCACCCCACAGCAGTCAGTGATGGGTTGGAGAAGAAAAGCCAAAGTGCAGTGGGTTGAGGAGTGAGTGGGAGGTGCGGAATGGAGATAGAAATAGAGTACTCTTTCACAGAAAAGGGTTACTACTGGTCAGTAAGTAGGAAGACAGAGATGCGGTATCACAGGAGAGTTTTGGGGGATTAGAGAGATCTGAGAATGTTTAGAGGTACTCGATAATCGTGGTGGAATCTCCCTTAATGCTATTGATGTTAGATTTCTATCATCACCACCATACCTCTGCCATACTAATTTCCGTAAAATACCACTTTCATCACCCCAGTGGATCGATTCTATATTCCTCCACCATGGATGTAAGTCCTCCAGCAAAGTAGCATTCCATCTGGCTCTGTCATTTATAGGCTGGGTGACAATAGGCAGCTGGCTGAATTTCTCTGAAACTTAATTTCTTCATCTGTCAGTTGAAGGGACCCACACCTATCTTAACAGGATAGAGAACGGTAGCTGGGCCCTCTCTCCAACCCCATTCCTGGCAGTCCTTCAAGAAGGCTCAGCTTCCATCGGGCCCTGTTTTCTCCTTCCTACTGCAGAGAGGCTCTGGGCTCCGTCAGTTCTCTATGAGCGCTGACCAGTTAAATGCTCTTTCTGAATCAAATGCTCCTTGCAGATTTGTTGGTTCCAGGCATTGAGAATACAAAGCAACACCAATGGGTAACATTTCAAGAGGATTTACCAGGTGTTGGGAGCGTTATATACATTTAGTTTTAATCTAACAAACAGATAACACTTAATATACTGTAGGAATAGTTCTAAGCACTTCAAATGTGTTAGCTCATTTAACCCTCGTAACAATCCCATGCTACAGATGGGAAGACTAAGGCACGGAAATGTTAAGTATGTTGCTCGACGTCACTTAGCCAGTAAGTGGTAGAGCTGGGATTTGAAACGGGACACCTGCCTCTGGATTTTGTGCACCCCATCATTACACTGGAAAATCCCTCCCTTAAGCTTAACAAGAATCCAGTGAAGCAGGCACTATTGCTATCCTCCATTTTACCCTGAGGATCAGAGAAATTAGGTTACTATCCTGAAGTCACACAGCTAGTAAGTGGTAGACCAGATTTTGGCAAGGTTTGTCTGACTCCTAAGATGATAACTGTTTTGATGACGTGTAACTATTGCAATCATTCCTCTAACAGTTCATGCTTTTTCCATGAGTGCCTATCACCTATACGATTGTTTAAATACAGCTATTTTAATGAACTCGTTTTCAAGATGTTTTTGTATTTTCCTAGCCTTCACATCTACTGAATCACAGATAACAAGGTATTTATATGTTTGTAACTCCCATTAAACTGCATAACTGTTTAAAAAGTCTGTGTGCCACTTAACATCATCTCATGTGCCTGCTGAGGCATGTACACCACACTTTGGGATAGGTTACGTTATATAACACGCTTAACCCACAGTCTACCCTTCATCACCAAAGTTGTGTTCAAACTCCTTTTCCTAAAAAACGCGTGGGATGTAGGTTTCTTTCCTGGAGTCAGAGAGGTAAAATGCATTTAGTGATGTTCCTAGAGGAGTCCCGACTCAGTGGTCAGAACATGGCTTGCATTCCGGTGGATGCTGGTGATGCTTTGTGGGTGGAGGTGGAGAGGCAGTGTGGGAGAATCATTCATCCTGCACAGCAGAGCTGAGGAAAACATTGACCTACTCTCTAAGAATGTTTTGCTTTTACTCCGACAGGCTGCTGTGTTAGAAAGAAGAGTAGCAGAGTGGGCTCTATATGTAAAAATGTGCTGGGGCTGGCCTGGTGACATAGTGGTTAAGTTCGCACGCTCTACTTCGGTGGCCCAGGCTTCACAGTTTCGGATCCCGGGCGCAGACCTAGAACTGCTGAAGCCACACTGTTGTGGCATCTCACATAAATCAGAGGAAGATCGGGACAGATGTTAGCTCAGCGACAGTCTTCCTCAAGCAAAATGAAGAAGATTGGCAACAGTGTTAGCGCGGAACAAATCTTCCTCACACACACGCAAAAAATGTGCTGAAGAATATGAGGGGCCAAGGGGTTGAACACCTGCCTGAGATGTCAGGATAGTCTTGGATGATGCTTCAAAAAAATGACCAATTTCAAATCACCACAATTGGCAGTAAAACGTGTGGCAGGGGCCAGAAAAGCAAGCCCTGTCCAGTTGTTCTGCCAAGGCTAAACCCTCGCTAAAAAAGGGAATGACTGGGGGTGCTTAGCAGCCAACGGGGCCCTTTTTATATCCACTTCAGGTACACGGTTGAAGAAAATTAGCTTGTGGACAGGAAGGCCAGGGCTGGGAGAAGGGGCTGACTTCTTGTGTTTGTGGGAGGAATGATACAGATCAAACTTACTGAGAGTTCATTACGTCTATTGTGTTAAGCATTGTGCTTCCATTATCTCATTTAATGCTCACAACAAGCCTGTGAGGTAGTACTGTTATCATTCCCTTTTTACAGATGAGAAAACACAGGCTCGGAGGGCTTCCCTAATGGCACACAACTGGTAAATGGTAAAGCTGGGATTTGTACCCAGGCCTGTCTGACTTCGAAGCGTGTAAAACCAGGCCATGGCCTGCCAGCTGAAATGTTTTGTTTGGCCTGCAATGTTTCCAATGAAACATTTAAAAATTGGGGGGTTTGACAATTAGAAATGTGTATTTCTAGCTTCTCTGGAAAAAACTCAGATGATCTGGCAACATTGGGCTCGTATTCTCCACAGGCTGCTGGAGCTGAGTAGAGCCTGCCCTCCTTGGATGGGGCTTGTCTTCTCTAGTTCTTTATATATATTTTATTAAAATATATACATATTATTGAGGTACAATTCACATACAACATTATATTAGTTTCAGGTATATGACATAATGATTCGATATTTGTATATGTTGTGAAAAGATCAGCACAACAGGTCCAGTCAACATCCATCACCATACGTAGTTACAGAATTTTTTTGTCTGTGAGGAGAACTTTTAAGATTACTCTCTTAGCAACTTTCATATAGCAAGACGGT